TTTTCTTTACATAGTTGAATGTGCTGACAACAAAATCACACAAAAATTATCAATGGAAATCAAATGTATCAACCCATGGAGGTCTGGATTTGGAGTCACCCTCAAAATTAAAGTGGAAAACCACACTACAGGCTGATCCAACTTTGATGTAATGTCCTTAAAACAAGTAAAATGAGGCTCAGTAGTGTGTGTGGCCTCCATGTGCCTGTTTGACCTCCCTACAATGCCTGGGCATGCTCCTGATGAGGTGGCGGATGGTGTCCTGAGGGATCTCCTCCCAGACCTGGACTAAAGCATCCGCCAACTCCTGGACAGTCTGTGGTGCAGCGTGGATTTGGTGGATGGAGCGAGACATGATGTCCCAGATGTGCACAATTGGATTCAGGTCTGGGGAACGGGCAGGCCAGTCCATAGCATCAATGCCTTCCTCTGGCAGGAACTGCTGACACACTCCAGCCATATGAGGTCTAGCATTGTCTTGCATTAGGAGGAACCCAGGGCCAACCGCACCAGCATATGGTCTCACAAGGGGTCTGAGGATCTCATCTCGGTACCTAATGGCAGTCAGACTACCTCTGGCGAGCACATGGAGGGCTGTGCGGCCCCCCAAATAAATGCCACCCCACACCATGACTGACCCACCGCCAAACCGGTCATGCTGGAGGATGTTGCAGGCAGCAGAACGTTCTCCACGGCGTCTCCAGACTCTGTCACGTCTGTCACATGTGCTCAGTGTGAACCTGCTTTCATCTGTGAAGAGCACAGGGCGCCAGTGGAGAATTTGCCAATCTTGGTGTTCTCTGGCAAATGCCAAACGTCCTGCACGGTGTTGGGATGTAAGCACAACCCCCACCTGTGGACATCGGTCCCTCATACCACACTCATGGAGTCTGTTTCTGACCGTTTGAGCAGACACATGCACATTTGTGGCCTGCTGTGGGTCATTTTGCAGGGCTCTAGCAGTGCTCATCCTGCTCCTCCTTGCACAAAGGCGGAGGTAGCAGTCCTGCTGCTGGGTTTTTGCCCTCCTACGGCCTCCTCCACGTCTCCTGATGTACTGGCCTGTCTCCTGGTAGCGCCTCCATGCTCTGGACACTACGCTGACAGACACAGCAAACCTTCATGCCACAGCTCGCATTGATGTGCCATCCTGGATGAGCTGCACTACCTGAGCCACTTGTGTGGTTGTAGACTCCGTCGCATGCTACCACTAGAGTGAAAGCACCGCCAGCATTCAAAAGTGACCAAAACATCAGCCAGGAAGCATAGGAACTGAGAAGTTTGATTTCACAGAAGTGTGATTGACTTGGAGTTACATTGTGTTGTTTAAGTGTTCCCTTTATTTTTTTGAGCAGTGTACATAAAATCATATATCATGATCTGTTTGATGTTGAGTTCTGATAATTGGCAAGCGTGATAAGGAGTACAGAAGTAGCTCATCCTAGGGCAATGTGTCCAATTTGTACTGATGGTGGTGCTATTATGGATTTTCCGCCATTTTGAATTTTGTGAAAAACACTTAAAACGCTACTCCTCTAGCACCGAATTACCGATCTGCACAAAACTTGATATCTAGCATCTATGGACCAAGGTCTCAACGCAATATTTTTGACTACACAGTGGTGGTATAACGGGCACTTGTTTATATCTCTTGATCGGTTTGACTCAGATTGATGAAATTTGGCTAACCTGTAAAGTAATGTTCAGTTTGGCCACATGGTGGCGCTGTTTGACAGGAAAAAAACAGTCATGCAAGTTCATTGGCTCATAGAGGCCATATTGTTTGAGATAGAGTCCTAGAAAATGCATTTAAAGACATGGATACATAGATCCTATATACTAAAGTTGGTGCCAATCGGTCCATCGGTTCTGGAGAAGATGTTTAAAGTAGTCAACATTAATAAAGATTGTCCAAAATCCATTGAAAGCATACTGCATGATCTGTTCGATGTTGAGTTCTGATATTTGGCAAGCGTAGGCAAGCGTAGTAAGGAGTACAGAGGTAGCTCCATCCTAGGGCGATGTGTCCAATTTGTCCTGATGGTGGCACAGTAGGCCCACAGCTTTAACCCCAGCATTGCTGCTTGCAGATATATTTTCTAAAGCTGTTGCATAGTTGTTGGGGAAACTCACTAGAAAAAGAAAGCAGTTGAAAATCAAAAATGTAAAATAACAAATCTCTACCCTAGCATTGGGATGCAGTGATTTGAAATACATAACATTCAGAGATCAAGATGCAATATATATTTGCACACCATTATAAAGACTTTGGATCACTGTTAGAAAAGTTTTGCTAGTTTGAGTTCCCTCTAGCAATCAAATGTCTTTCACATAGATTTTTTGTTCTCTTCGGCTAATCTTCTTGTTGGAATTTAAACTAATTTGTCTGAAATGCTTGACTATGAAAGAACATGAAGCATTTCAGCCCATCAAAGCAATCCCTTGACTCTTTAAGTGACAAACAATGCAAATGCAGCCCTGACCACAGGTGTTGGAAAGTTCCAAAATGTCTATTGGCTGTCCCTTTGAGATTGGGCTGATGGAGTTTGAAACCACAGATTGCTTCACTACTGTTTATATGACCTCTGGTCTCCAATCCAAACTATTCTGCTCTGTTTTTGATATAAATAAATATTAAGTGTTTTGAGCGGTCAGTTCAGCGTGTGTGCATGTGTGTGTGTGCGTGTGTGTTTATGCTGCAAATATAAATTAAATAAATCTTGCACTGCTAATGGTCAAGTTAATATGACAGTTATAAGCAGGGTAAACCCTTTTAAATGAATGACTCTTGTACAGCTTATGAAGTGTTTAGATTTTAGCTGCTCTGTTACATTTGAAGAGAGCCTAGTTTAGCTCATCAGTATGAGATGTATCAGGAGCTTGAACTGAAAGCTGCTCTCTGAACTCCTCTCCCTGATCCCCCTAGAGACACAATCAGTTTTATTCTGCTTAAGAGAGTGAAAAGGAAAGTTACTAATTAGCCCATAATTACAACTTTGAAGTGGTTGTGGGAGCTGGTAATAATGATGGTTTCGCAGGGAGGCAAAGATTAAGCATGGCATCCCAAATCCCCTACAAAGTGCACGACTACTATGGGCACTGTTTAAAAGTAGGGCACTATATAGGGAATAGGGTGCCATTTAGGACCCATAGAGCGTATGTTTTCAGAACATGTCCTCAAACTGGCAGCCCTCCCTGAAGATGAACCCAGTACAGCTAATAAGGACATCATAGGGAAAGTTGTGTAATGATGGTCCAATTTACTGTGTCTCTGCTGGTTAAACTGACTAGCTGGTGTTGGGTTGCATACACTAGAGCAGGGGTGCCCAGACTTTAGTTACATAGGATCTACTTTTTCCACCCTGTTCCTAACGCGGTCTACCCCCCCCCGCCAATACTAAATAACATTTCACCTTATTGATTGGATGATTGGCACTGCATGCTGTAAGCAAGCTTTGCATAGTCTGGGTTGTAGCTACTGATTGCTAGCCTCAAGCAGGTGTCCAGGTGATCATCTGTTTTAGTGGACCGGTATTTTGACTTGATGATCTTCATGTCTGAAAATGTTGACTCGCAAAGGTAGGTAGATTCAAAAAATGCTGTCAAGTACATGGCAACTTTTCTCATGTTTGGATATTTTTCCTTCACGATAAGGTTCCAAAAGTGTTCCCCCGATGCCCAAAATTTCATTCTCGACGGCTGATGTCTCCATGTGAAACAATTATGTAATTTTTTTTGCAATTTCGTCAAAATCAACTTCCACACCAAACGGAAAGCACATAAATGTTGCCACAGATTCCAGGGTCGCAAAGTCTTGAAAGCGTTGGTCAAAATAATCTTCCTCCCACTCAGTGTGAAAGTGGTATATTTTCGGTTTCTTGCTGCTTGGTCCAGCACTCATATTAAAAATGTAACCGCAACTTCATAGAAAAAAAGTAGTAAAAAAAATACTACCACTGGAACAACAGAGAATATTCTGTTACAGGTCTGTTACAGGTCTCGCAAGCATGGAAATGTACATGTACAAACTGCAGACGGTTCCTATAGTAGCGACAGTCTGGAAAACAAATGTAGCAGCTATAGTGCCGCGGGTTGGTCCAATTTAATGTAAATCAAGCAGTTTTTTAAATATTTTGGCTGTGCAGTAATATTCGACAAAGAAGCTAACCTGTATGAAAAGCATATGGGGCTTCAGAACTGTGGACCTCATTATTTTTAAGCAGACTTGATGGTAACGCTGTGAATTGCCAAAATATATATTTTTTGTGCATACATTTTGAAAACGTTTATGTGGTCTACTAGAAAGAAGTTCGATGTCCTGGTCACCAATGCACTAGAGTAAGGAAACAAGGCTGCAAAGGCCTCATTATAAAATATTAGGATAAAGCTATGGATATACTTTTAATATGGTCATTATACCATTGGTCAATTCAACCATTGATCCACAAACTCTGGATCTTACTTTTGAACTTACCGGTAATCAAAATCATCCCCAAAAACAGCCGTATCAATAGGTGACAGCAACACAAAACTAGAAAAGGCTAAAGTAATCTTTATCTGTGTTGTGTTTAGGGTTACAAAATTATGGTAACTTTCCCAAGGTTTCACAGGTTTTCCAGAAATCCTGGTTCGACGATTCCTGGATTTCCTGCTTATTCCCTCCTGATCCAGGGATATTCCAACCAGGACTTGTGAAAAACCTGGTAATTTTGCAACCCTAGTTGTTACATCACACAAGTTCCAATAAGAACACCAGTTAAAATTCCCATGCATTGGTTCACCAAAACCAGTTTGTATATAAAGAAGGGGGCTGAGCTCAGTAGAATACATTAGTTCTGGAGATAAATTATTTTCAGAATGAGAGGTGCTATAGTTCTGTTGGTGTTGCTGTTCTGTCTGGGGCATGGGCTCAGTGAGAGAGCGGAGGGATCAGAAAGAATGACATCACCCAACAGGTTCACAGTGAATGGGGACAGAGCAGGGAGAGTAATGTTGAACAGATGACCACCCAGCCTGACATCTGGACTGAGCTAAAGGAGCAAAGAGACATGCTGGTCCAACAGAGATTGGAGGTGAGGAACATGGGGTCCAGAGTGACAGCCAGTGAGAGCCAGGGGGAGGAGCTGAAGAGACAGGTGAAGGCGCTGAAGAGTGAAAACACATGTAATGAAAGAATGACATACCGTGAGCGCCAAAAGTATTGGGACTGTGGAAATGTTTTTGTTGTTTGTACTCCAGCACTTTGGATTTGAAATGATACAATGACTACAAACTATTAAAAGCTATCTATAAAAAGCTGAGACTCTCACGAACACGCACGTTTTGCTCTATGACACTTACAAGCTACACAAGAGTCGTTAGAAGGTAAGGGGTTCTTCTACATAGAAGATCATAGGAAAACCCAGGACATAGTGTCTATAATACTGAGTCATTAGAAGGTAAGGGGTTCTTCTACATAGAAGATCATAGGAAAACCCAGGACATAGTGTCTATAATACTGAGTCATTAGAAGGTAAGGGGTTCTTCTACATAGAAGATCATAGGAAAACCCAGGACATAGTGTCTATAATACTGAGTCATTAGAAGGTAAGAGGTTCTTCTCTGTAGAAGATCATAGGAAAACCCAGGACATAGTGTCTATAATACTGAGTCATCATATTCATTTCCCAGTGAGCAAACCATTTCTGTACTTCATATAACTTCATTTTTATCAGGTTTTTGCTTTGGCGGACATAATTTTTTTATTTACATTTGTCAATAAAACTCATGAATACAACTGTTTGTCATATTGTGTTGTGTCACTTGTAGCCCTGGTTGTCCTGAAAAGAACATGGTAAAACACTTAATTGGGAGTCTAAATACACTGAGTGTACAAAACGTTACATAGACTGACCAGGTGAATCCAGGTAAAAGCTATGACCCCTTATTGATGTCACATGTTAAATCCACTTCAATCAGTGTAGACGAAGGGGAGAAAACAGGTTAAAGAAGGATTTTTAAGCCTTGAGACAATTGATATATGGATTGTGTACTGTATGTGTGCCATTCAGAGGGTTAATGGGCATGACAAAAGATAAGTGCCTTTGAACGGGGTATGGTAGTAGGTGCCACGCTCACCGGTTTGAGTGTGTCAAGAACTGCAACGCTGCTGTGTTTTTAACACTCAACAGTTTCCCATGTGTATCAAGAATGGTCCACCACCCTAAGGACATCCAGCCAACTTGACACAACTGTGGGAAGCATTGGAGTCAACATTGGCCAGCATCCCTGTGGAACGCTTTCGACACCTTGTAAAGTCCATGCCCGACGAATTGAGGCTGTTCTGAGGACAAAAGTGGGTGCAACACAATATTAGGAAGGTGTTCCTAATGTTTTGTACACTCAGTGTTTAAGGGCTGGACATGCAGATAAATGAAAGTCAGATAAATGAGAAGCCGATTTTTGCTGGAATCTAGGGACTTATAGGGTTAAATGTAATAGTTTATAAAGTTTAGAAAATTATACAATTGTTTTAGTGTTTCTAGGTTATGGTAAATAGTCATGGACTCCAATGAGTTCAAAACCTGAGCTTGACAGACAGTCTGGGACTAGAGGTGGTTAGTTGCTATGAAATGGAGCGATCTGATTTGTTGGTCAGCCAGTCAATCAAGAAACCTAAATTATTTAGCAAATGTCCATTTGCAGGGGGCTACCTTGAATGACAATGGTTATGGTCCAGGGTTGTTGACAATTCCAGTCAATAGCCACCCTAGAAGATGAATTGAAAAAGTTAATTATTTTCAAAGAGGAATTATCAGTTCGAATTGAATTTCAATTCGTCTCCTGAATTGATTGCAACTGAAATGGAATTGATCTAAACACAGCAGAGACACCCCCATCCCACCACCCACCACTCTGCACACCATGAAGCGACTAACATATTTTTCTTAGATCTATTTCTTGAGTATTAACCGAGATGAAGAGGCTAAGCAAGATAATTTACGCCGCCCAAAATCTGTCCGCACGAGATAAGCAGACCAAGTGGGTATTTTTTGTATGGAGGTCTGTGAGAGAGTGTCGAATTACGTTAGGCTTATTTGATCTAATGGAAGCTTCGTAATGTTTAGGTTGTTACAAATGTACTGATATAAGTGGACGCATGTGGCATTCCAGCAACTTTGATAAAAACACGTTAGTTGTGCCTGTTATTCACACGCGTATCTGCCCTCTCATGGACTAGAATTATCCACCTGATCTCGCCTCCTACCGCCTGCCTTCCATCTTTGAGGACATATATTTCCATTGTTAGAGCGGTCACTCGACTATCTTTTCAATATAATCATCTTTGGTATTACCAACCCTCTCGTAGGGTATCATTGCAGTAAAATCAAAAGGCCGCATTTGACTACTATTAAAATATATAGGATGTGATGGTCTATTACTTTCATAGGGGAAAAACTAACCAAAGATAATTCCTCTCCATCATTTCGAGATTTAGATTTCTCCAGTCTGGACTCTGGAGTGAAATGTGTCTATTGATGGTGCAATATTTTCACAAGTCATCCAAAAGGCAGATAATGCTTATAGCGGAGCATGTAATATAGTACGTTCCAGACCCTTACCCAGCAAAGAGGTATTTGATGCATAGAGCAAATATGCCATTAAAAAAGCCCTTTTAGATGTTTCATTTTAGGTGTATTTGGGTTGTTGCTAGATAAATGGGAGGCATGTGACTTATCAGTCAGGTGAAAAGTGAGGGTCAGAAGAATAGAGTTAACATGAGGTGCAGAGAGTAAAAGACTCTATCAATTATCTTCTTGTGTAGCATCCCACAAAGGTAAATGTTCAATAAAAAAATAAAAGAATAAACTCCTCTTGCATGATTTTGTCCAAGCAGACATTACAAAACACTTTGAAAACACTGGATTTACATTTGTCAGACTCATAACTGACATTGCTGCTTGAATGTGTTTTGCGGTAAAGATTATCATGGAAAAGTTCAGTTATCCCTAAATCTTCTTATCTTGCAGGTATCCTTCCAGCACTGCGAAACTACTTCTAACTACTTTATGAACAATGTCAATTGATAACACATTATATTGTGATGTACGGCACTGCAATATTACTTGACTTTCTTCAAAGAACAAAAAAACGGACCCAATATAGACAGAAATAGGTCATCTATTGCATAATTTCGGTAATATTACATATTTTTATAAAACAATATTTTTGTTCCAACTCTGGAGACGGACTAGTCCAGTGAAACAATAACAAAGACATCCGCCCGCCCCGTTTCAGTAAAAAGCTGAGGGATGGGGTGGAGAAATGTAACCACTCTCAAATTCATAGACAAAGCTATGTATGCAAGGACTGACCATCCATGATATAAAAATATAATTTTAACCATGTTTTGAGGCTATGTTTGTTTAAATTAACTTTGTTTACATTGGAGTAAAGCATATATTTTGGGTTCTGGTGGGGTATGACAGTTTAAGTAAGCTCATGAGGCATTTATAAGTTATATTCTTTAAGAATCAATGGGTATATATAACACATTTATAAGTATAGAAATGGATGTAGCAACTGCATATATATCGATATCCGGGAAACCGACATTTAAGGTATAATGGCTGCTATTTCCCCAGGTACGGGGAGCCAGAACTTTAGGATTTCACTTGAGAGCTGAACAAAATAAACCACAGCAAGCGAGTGGCAAACTGACCTAGTTTGAGGATAAATCTATCAGACAGTGCAAAGTATAAGACCGCTCTGTACTGTACATAGTCTTCCCCTCTGCAGAGCTGTGGCCATTCAGGGCTCTAGCCTCCATTTGCACAGGCACCATGTTTCCATAATTTATAACCTCAAAGAGTGAATGAGCATTAAGGGCCTCTATTTCTCAAATCAAATCAAATCAAATGTTATTTGTCACATACACGTGTTTAGCAGATGTTATTGCGGGTGTAGCAAAATGCTTGTGCTTCTAGCTCTGACAGTGCAGTAATATCTAACGAGTAATATCTAACAATTTCACAACATATACCCAATACACACAAATCTAGTAACAAATGGAATTTAAGAATATATACATATATGGACAAGCAATGACAGAGCGGCATGGACTAAGATACAGTAGAATATTATAGAATAGAATACAGTATATACATATGAGATGAGTAGTGCAAGATATGTAAACATTATTGAAGTGACTAGTGTTCCATTTCTTAAAGTGACCAGCGATTTCAATAGGCAGCAGCAGCCTCTAATGTGCTAGTGATGGCTATTTAACAGTCTGATGGCCTTGAGATAGAAGCTGTTTTTCATTCTCTCGATCCCAGCTTTGATGCACCTGTACTGACCTCGCCTTCTGGATGATAGTGGGGTGAACAGGCAGTGGCTCGGGTGGTTGATGTCCTTGATGATCTTTTTGGCCTTCCTGTGACGTCGGGTGCTGTAGGTGTCTTGGAGGGCGGGTAGTTTGCCCCCAGTAATGCGTTGTCTGTCATGTATTAAAGGTTCTGTGTTCCAATGGCTTACTGCTAAGAAATGGTTAAACAACATGCGTTGGGATTTCTAAGGTTTTGGGAGACCCCACCCTGATATTACAATATGTCCTCACAACTTTGTATACAAAGAAATATAACTCTGCTTATAAGAGCACATTGGATTGGAAGCAAGGGTTTAATTGAACAATACTCTCCCTCTAGCCTGTGTGTCATATGTGGAAATTGGGGCAGAGCTTTGATGTTCTTAAACAAGGTGCTTCTTCTCAATCGTCCTGGGAGTGAGGCTTATGTCTAACTCTGGAGCCTGTATTTGCTAACCTGTCCATCAGGTATGAAAATACATGACAGCCTTTTGTTCTTGGTCGCTCCCCTGGTCTCAACTAATTAAAATCTTTAAAACAGTCCTTTTGTCCATATTTGCAAAATTAAATATATTGTTATGGATCACAGTATATGGTCAGTAACAATAACGTTACCGATTTTGACTAACCAGTATATCGGTATCAATGTACTGGAGTTGTAATAACCATATAATCAATGTGTTTAATTATTAAAATAATAGGTACTACATATTGTAGTGAAACAATACAGTCTAGCTATGTTTCACACCTGCATATCTAAGGGTATTTGTTGCTGTTGTAAATTAACCCATTCTTAAATTCCAATGTGGAATCTGAAGAGTAAAAATTGATCATTCTCTTGTGGGATAAATAATGCTTGTTTGTCTGTCATCCAAAGCCCCATAGCTCCCTCTAAAGGACACAGTGGTACAAAACAAAATTAAGAAAAATACATCTAAAAGGGCCTTGTGAGCTTAGTAGAACTGTTTTACCCTATCATGACAAGATGAAGACACCCCAGAGTTGCTGCAGTGTGTCTGGGGCTGCTATGTGTTCTCCTACTGGTTGGGATCATTGGTGTGTGTCTTCCAGAGAAACCAATTGACCAGTTACAACAACCTGACTAAAGAGAGAGACCAGCTACAGAAGGAGACCGAAATGCTGAACAAGAAGATCACAGGGAGACACTGTCCCCAAGGGTGGAGGGAGTTTGAAATCAGCTGTTATTACATCACCAATAAGACTAAAGTCTGGAATGAGAGCAGACAAAACTACAGAGATCATAAATAGCGGGCAAAAACGTCTGGATTTGTCTCACTAACTCAGTTACTGAAGGGATCCGGAAATGGGTGGACCGCACACCACTGAACACAGCAACTAAGGAACAGACCAGGAATGTGGAGAGTTTGCATATGCTTCATCAGGTCAAGGACATTGGAATGATGAGAAATGTTCCATTAAACAAAAAGGGATCTGTGAGAAATTGGATTATCATGGGTACACGCTCTACACTGCTGTTTAATTAACAACAATTTACTGCAGTGGGCTAAATCAGGGTCACACAGAGTGTTTCTTGGTTGTCTTAAACAAATGTATTTTGAAACAAAAGTATACAGTGGGGAAAAAAAGTATTTAGTCAGCCACCAATTGTGCAAGTTCTCCCACTTAAAAAGATGAGAGAGGCCTGTAATTTCCATCATAGGTATACGTCAACTATGACAGACAAAATGAGATTTTTTTTCTCCAGAAAATCACATTGTAGGATTTTTAATGAATTTATTAGCAAATTATGGTGGAAAATAAGTATTTGGTCAATAACAAAAGTTTCTCAATACTTTGTTATATACCCTTTGTTGGCAATGACACAGGTCAAACGTTTTCTGTAAGTCTTCACAAGGTTTTCACACACTGTTGCTGGTATTTTGGCCCATTCCTCCATGCAGATCTCCTCTAGAGCAGTGATGTTTTGGGGCTGTCGCTGGGCAACACGGACTTTCAACTCCCTCCAAAGATTTTCTATGGGGTTGAGATCTGGAGACTGGCTAGGCCACTCCAGGACCTTAAAATGCTTCTTACGAAGCCACTCCTTCGTTGCCCGAACGGTGTGTTTGGGATCATTGTCATGCTGAAAGACCCAGCCACGTTTCATCTTCAATGCCCTTGCTGATGGAAGGAGGTTTTCACTCAAAATCTCACGATACATGGCCCCATTCATTCTTTCCTTTACACGGATCAGTCGTCCTGGTCCCTTTGCAGAAAAACAGCCCCAAAGCATGATGTTTCCACCCCCATGCTTCACAGTAGGTATGGTGTTCTTTGGATGCAACTCAGCATTCTTTGTCCTCCAAACACGACGAATTGAGTTTTTACCAAAAAGTTATATTTTGGTTTCATCTGACCATATGACATTCTCCCAATCCTCTTCTGGATCATCCAAATGCACTCTAGCAAACTTCAGACGGGCCTGGACATGTACTGGCTTAAGCAGGGGGACACATCTAGCACTGCAGGATTTGAGTCCCTGGCGGCGTAGTGTATTACTGATGGTAGGCTTTGTTACTTTGGTCCCAGCTCTCTGCAGGTCATTCACTAGGTCCCCCCGTGTGGTTCTGGGATCTTTGCTCACCGTTCTTGTGATCATTTTGACCCCACGGGGTGAGATCTTACGTGGAGCCCCAGATCGAGGGAGATTATCAGTGGTCTTGTATGTCTTCCATTTCCTAATAATTGCTCCCACAGTTGATTTCTTCAAACCAAGCTGCTTACCTATTGCAGATTCAGTCTTCCCAGCCTGGTGCAGGTCTACAATTTTGTTTCTGGTGTCCTTTGACAGCTCTTTGGTCTTGGCCATAGTGGAGTTTGGAGTGTGACTGTTTGAGGTTGTGGACAGGTATCTTTTATACTGATAACAAGTTCAAACAGGTGCCATTAATACAGGTAACGAGTGGAGGACAGAGGAGCCTCTTAAAGAAGTTGTTACAGGTCTGTGAGAGCCAGAAATCTTGCTTGTTTGTGGGTGACCAAATACTTATTTTCCACCATAATTTGCAAATAAATTCATAAAAAATCCTACAATGTGATTTTCTGGGAAAAAAAATCTCAATTTGTCTGTCATAGTTGACGTGTACCTATGATGAAAATTACAGGCCTCTCTCATCTTTTTAAGTGGGAGAACTTGCACAATTGGTGGCTGACTAAATACTTTTTTTCCCCACTGTACACCTCACACACATGGTTATGGGCTTTAAAAAAAGAAGATACCTGTAGCATGTCATTTGAAATGTATTCAATTTTGAGTTTGCATCCCAATATTACATACATCACAAAATATTGAAATATTTTTTTGGCAGGTTTATTATAAAATTATGAAAAATATTAATAACGTTACACCCATGAGGCCACTAGAGGGCGATTTGGGCATTTTTATTGCAGGAAAGGGTTTTAAGGAGTACAGTGAATGTCTGAAGACAGATGTTTTTTGGTAAAATAGTATGCTGCATAGACAGGTTAGCTGGCAATGTCACGAAAACGATGCACACGCTTCAATAGTGCAGAAGTCTTGCTGTGATTCTGGATGGTCAGATAGCTAGCAACAATGACACGAAGTTGACATGTGGGGAATTGTACGTGGCTCGTTTCATCTAATTTTATCTTGTTCTTGATACCATGTCTTGTTTTGACTGATGTCACGTACAGTACATTATGGCAAAAATTCGCTGGCTAACTGACCAACAACTGTAACGATGTATTTGAGAAACAATAAGTGCTCATTGTGCACATTTATTTATATTTTCAATAAACATTGGAAACAAAATATATAATGAACAAAAGTATAAACGCAACATGCAACAATTTCTAAGATTTTACTGAGTTACAGTTCATAGGAAATCAGTTAATTGAAAAACATTCATTAGGCCCTAATCTATGGATATTTATTTTTTTTGGGTCATTTAGCAGACGCTCTTATCCAGAGCGACTTACAGGAGCAATTAGGGTTAAGTGCCTTGTTCAAGGGCACATCGACAGATTTTTCACCTAGTCGGCTCGGGGATTAGAACCAGCAACCTTTCGATTACTGGCACAACGCTCTTAACCACTAAGCTACCTGCCGGGAATATCGATATAGATATAAATCTGTTGGTCACAGAAACCTTAAAAGAAAAGTAGGGGCGTGGATCAGAAAAAACTGTCAGAATCTGGTGTGACCACCATTTGCCGATTCAGAGCATCCCAAACATGCTCAATGGGTGACATGTCTGGTGAGTATGTAGGACATTTTCAGCTTCCAGGATCCTTGCAACATGGGGCTGTGCATTATCATGCTGAAACATGAGGTGATGGTGGTGGATGAACAGCACGACAATGGGCCTCAGGATCCAGTCACGGTATCTCTGTGCATTGAAATTGCCATCGATAAAATGCAATTGTGTTTGTTGCCCGTAGCTTATGCCTGTCCATATCATAACCCCACCGCCACCATGGGGCACTCTGTTCACAACGTTGACATCAGCAAACCGCTCGCCCACACGACGCCATACACGTGGTCTGCGGTTGTGAGGCCGGTTGGACGTACTGCCAAACTCTCTAAAACGACGCTGGAGGCGGCTTATGGTAGAGAAATGAACATTCAATTATCTGGCAACAGCTCTGGTGGACATTCCTGCAGAAATCAGTGGCATTGTATTGTGTGACAAAACTGTACAAGGTGCACCTGTGTAATGATCATACTGTTTAATCAGCTTCTTGATATGCCACACCTGTCAGGTGGATGGATTGTCTTGGCAAAGAAATGTCACTAACAGGGATGTAAAAACATTTTTGCACATGGAACATTTCTGGGATCTTTCATTTCAGCTCATTAAACATGAGACCAACACTACATTTTGCGTTTATATTTTTGTTCAGTATAGTTTACATGTTGTCAACAATCTAAGCCAACCCAGTCTGTTTTCCCCCATAGTTGTGCATGCGTCGTTTTGTTCCTAAACAACCAACCCGTCCATTAGACATAGGAGAAAGGTGCACACACACACACAGTTCATATTTCACACAATGAGGTCTATATCATTCAATAAATGACTTTAAGTTTGAGTTATACAGTCATTTTAAATGACTGTATGGGCTCTATTTTAACAAACCTAACGCAAATAAAGGTAAATCGAAGGAGGTAGCGCTATTGGTTCAGGGGTGTGTCATTTTCCTATTTTTTATTTTTATTTTTTTATTCACTATCACAATTATCGGTGCACTTGAAGCATCGGCTGGGTTTTGATGAATAAACAAGTTGTGGCTGTGTTGAGGCTTGGCCCCTCACTGGCAAATCAGAATGTGCTCCATGGCGAAAAACACTACATGACCAAAAGTATGTGGACACCTGCTCATCAAACATCTCATTCCAAAATCATGGCCATTAATATGGAGTTGGTCCCCCCTTTGCTGCTATAACAGCCTCCACTCTTCGGGGAAGGCTTAACACTAGATGTTGGAACATTGCTGCGGGGACTTGCGTCCATTCACACGCAAGCATTAGTGAGGTCGGACACTGATGTTGGGTGATTAGTCCTGGCTCGCAGTCGGTGTTCCAATTCATCCCAAAGGTGTTCGATGGGGTTGAGGTCAGGGCTCTGTGCAGGCCAGTCAAGTTCTTCCACACCGATCTCGACAAACCATTTCTGTATGGACCTCGCTTTGTGCACGGGGGCATTGTCATGCTGAAACAGGAAAGGGCCTTCCCCAAACTGTTGCCACAAAGTTGGAAGCACAGAATCGTCTAGAATGTCATTGTATACTGTGGCGTTAAGATTTCCCTTCCCTGGAACATGGAATCAACTCCAATTCCAATGTTAGTCCGTTATAGTTTGTTAAATGGCTTACAGAAATGAAATAACATTTAGACCTATCTTTGCTAAATACGTTACCTTTAACCCATTTGCAGTCCACATTGTTTTAAGTAATTGCATGTCTTCAATAGCATTCACACTGATATAGGGGCTAGGCCTACTGTAAATTGTATTATGGCAGAGCATGGACATGCCAAACATTGTCAATAAGCAAGATTATATTTACTATTGATAAGGCCTAAAAAGAGAACAAATAATTATAATCAAAACGAAACAACAACTTGTTTGAAACAGGCTATGTCACACTTACAGACAACATAATTTCTCCCCGTGGGCATTTAATATTATAACAACGCAGACTGTGGACGGTTTTACGCACAACCAAACGTTTCACAGTAGCTGGACAAAAATCCAATATAAATAGAAAGGGAGTATGTCTACTCAATGTTATACCGCTTCCAAAAAGGCCTATGTATTACGAACATAATCGGAACCATCTTATAGTTCAGATCCCATTCACATATCTCCAGAAGTTGCATTGGAAGCGCGCCACAGACGTTGTCACCATAATACCAGCAAGGTGAATCACTCTAATGAGTTTGGTTGTAATAAAATGTTACGAAAAGCAAGTGATCAGGTTTTTTTTTTTTTTACATCAACATTGCTGTTGAACCAGCCTTCGTTATAGGAGGCCTAAGGGAGGGCTTGGGTTTTGAACATATAAAACAGAAAACAAGCCATTTCTACAGATTACAGATCACTTCTAAATACAAGGCAAGGTTCTCATCTCTCGTTTCATGATGGGCATGGACACGTAGCCTACATCAAGGAGGGGGTTTTACGCACATCCAAAACAGGACCTGCATGGCTATAGTAATGGGGGCCTGCCTATAATGCATAGATAAAAAGGGAATGTTAGCTCTTTCAGGACACACCTCAAAAAGGTCCTTTACGCCCATCTGAGCGCAAGTGAGCTGATATAAGACAGGTAAATTGCCTAACCTGGCGTTAGGGTTGGAAAATGCCTGTGCGCCAGTTTTTACATGACGAAATTGCAAACAAACGTGCGTTTGACACAAGCGCCTCCATAACACCAGCCGAAAATAGATCCCTAAATGTTAATATGGTCTAATGTTTTCGTTTGTTTTGCTTCCATTATGCTGTACATAATTAATGTGTACTTTCTGATTATTCAATAAATCATTGAACCTAGAACATTATTAGACGTTTTATTAGAGTGTAAAAATACAATACAAATGTAAAAACAAACATAAAGCCTTACACTGTTGCTTTAAATATTAAAAATGGTGATGACATTTCCCAATTCCTGGATGTGACAGAGCTGTACACTCCTGAAGGAATTTGGTTAAAGGAAGATTAAATGTCTGTTTGGGAAGTTTTTGTTAGAAATACCAGACATTCATGACCAGTCTCACTTTCAGAATCACTCACATACCATGACTCCAGTGAAATTATGACACAACTGCCTCTGACTTAATACAGCTGGTGGCCACACCAGATACTGACTGTTACTTTTGATTATGACCCCCCCTTTGTTCAGGGACACATTATCCAATGTCTGTTAGTCACATGTCTGTGGAACTTCAGTTTATGTCTCAGTTGTTGAATCTTGTTATGTTCATACAAATATTTACACATGTTAGGTTTGCTGAAAATATACACAGTTGACAGTGAGAGGACGTTTCTTTTTTTGCTGAGTTTAGTTCTCCTGTGTCAGATCCTGGACATCCCAAGGGGGTTCCTTCAGCTCCTTTACCAACTCCAGGTTGGAGACGTCACGCTTCGACTACCTCTCCAGATAACTGGCATACTCCCCGTTAACCTCATCTAACCTCTTCAGATACAAAGCCAGTTTTTCTGGGGGCTCGACCAAGACGACCACAAACTCCTGTTGCTCCGCAACTATGGGAGCCCTGTAGTCCACGGGGACCACCCGGAGCTTGAGAGGCCTCCACAGTTTCTCGGTGATGTAGTCATCACAAATGGCATTCTCAAAGGCCAGGATCTGGTAGAAGGCCTGCTCCTCCATGGCGGTCAAGTCCCTCAGATGTGGAGGCAGGTCTTTGTTGTGGAGGCATTGTCCAAAGGAATCAACCTGGATGTGCTTCATTAACTCGCTCACATAGGCGTCCCGAGGGTCGCAGACTCGCAGTCTGACTGGACATACACCACAGGGGCTAGTGTCTTCCTCAGCTTGTTGTTCTGGGTGAGGGGCACCAGGTGGGTCTGAGAGGTGAGGTCCTCCAGGCTTTCTAGTTACTGGGAGGTGAGGGGCAGGTAGGAGTGATGGCTGAAGGTGACCGTGTGGTTAAAGAGAGACTCATGGAAGAGCTTGTAGTTGTTTTTGGGCGACTCCTCATGAAACAAGGCCCACTGGTGGTGCGGTCTCCTCGGCAGTGAAAGACCCTCGATGTTGAAGTCGGTGCCTGGTTTGATTCAAAAGGGTTGGAAAGGGGGGAGGGGAGGGGGATAGTATAAATGTAATGTCTTTAATGTGAAGGGTCAGCACATTTAAGGCAATGCTGACCGTGTTGCCTACTAAAAAAGTAATAAGTATAGTAGATTAACATAAAATATGCACCAATTTAAAGTCTTATCTGAGAATACTTTGAGCCAACTCTGGGATAAGAAGTAAGATGAATTAACTGTTTTATGTCTTTCTGCCTTGCAGTGATTATGTTAGGACAGACATTTTCAAATAAATGTGTCTTGGAGATTCTCTTAAATCGGGTGCATATACACACAGTATATTCTATGAGAAATGTAAGTTAACTATGTATATTATGCTGCCTGAACTGATGTTGTATCCTTTATATCTATGCTAATGCTATTGCTCCTTTTATGTTTATCCTGGCAGTCTCCTAAATTGGATGTTAAGCCTATTCCCCATTGTGACCTGGCACTACTTTGTCATGTCTGCACCTTTGTTGTGTTCTTAATATTACCCTTTTGTATCTCCCTTCCAGACCACCACATTCTTGTTATCCACATCCCATCTCCAAGGCCTTATAATTCTCAATTCCTAACACATCCTACCTACCTACAGGCTTTACAAGCCCCGACTCCTAACCTCATCCAAACCCTCCCCCCATGTGCTCTCTTTGTTCCATTGTTCAATTGTGTAATAAATGCCCCTAAACCTGGATTCCTGCTCCATTTCCTTATTTGCATTCTGATCGATGCACCATGGTGGAAGCAACAGTCCTGAACCTAGCTTAGAGTCTGTCCTAGCCCTAGTCTTTTTCTTCAACTATAACCCCCATGATATGCTGTAAGTGGCCAGCTCCCAGTGTGCAGCTGGTGCTGTCAGTGGGGAAGTGCACTAGATTGGCTGTGTGTTATTAGTGGGAGGGAGGGCTGTCAATTACAGGTCTCATTCTGTATAAATCCATTGGCCAGCTACTTTGTGTGTAATTCCCTTGGCTGGGATGTGGGCTCATGTGAACTCCAGGTCTAAGCTCCGGGCCAGGAGTAATCAACAGGCTAGACTGACAGTGTCCTTGGATTGATAGGGAGGGGTCATAGACTGAGGTTGGGTGGTACCTGGCTCCAGGGTGAAGTTTCCCCTAGGTACAGATTTAAGATCAGCTTCCCATCCCCCAATCCTAACTATTAGTGGGGGAAAATGGAGTACCTGTGTATGACCTTTAGCTAAGCAAACAACATTTTGCTCTTTTCACTGGGGGGCTGGTTTCCAGGACCCAAATTAAGCCTAATCCTAGACTAAAAATCGCATTCAATGGAGATCGAGCATGCTTTTTAGTCCATGACTAGGTTTAATCTGGGTCCTGGAAACAGACCCATTGAGTGCTGTTACGTTAAAAATTAAAGTTTACTATAGAAAATATGAGTTACTTGACATATCGAAGGTAAAGGGGCATTGAAACTGAAAAATATTGGGTCAATAAAGACAATGGTTTCCTTAAGAACTGCCATAATCCTTGGTAATGTATCTTGTCATGCTAGGATACTGAGGCCCGGGCAGAGGTAAGGGGAAACTAATAATAAAAGCATGGAAAGGCAGGAATATGAAGTTTGCTACGGATGAGGGGCCTCCTTTGATCTCCGACACCACATGTTGCAGGCTAACCTGATGCTGTAGGGGGGAAGGGGGTGTGCAGTGTGTGTGTGTGTACTGTTCTAAAGAAACACCACAGGTGTAATTTACCATGTACTGCTTCCATTTTCTAAATAATCTTAATCAAATAAATGTTCATATCAGACGTTGATGTGCTTGTTGTAGGGGATAGATGTCATGAAAAGTGGTGTATTCCAGCATGTATGACACAGCTCTACAGTAGTCGGGCTTTAGTTAATGGGCACGTTCCAGGTCGTCTTGGTTGCAGTCGCACTGTTGAAGGTAACATCTCAGAAACTATGGTAAACATGATATAACAATCTGCAAAAAATACCACCTAGAACACCACCAATACTTTAGGGCAGAAGGACACCCACCTCCTCATATTTGCAGTCAGCTTCCTCAGCGATGTGTTTGGCCTCCTTCAGCTGCATCTCCATCTTCTCCTCGTCTTTTGTCGTCCCTGTTCTCTATGACCTTCATTCCTCTGGGGGACACCACAGGCAACAGGACAGAGACGAGTCATGGGTGTTGGGGGAAAACAGACTTACAGTATGATGTGCACGTTCATATCAAATACTTTCTGACCAGTCTACTCTGTTATGCTACTATGCTAATGGTAACTGATGTGAAAGTAATGCTGAAAAACTATTGGGACTTGTTGAATGTCTTAAATAGTTACCTTTTCTTCCCTCCTTCCTTCCACAACTACTAGTCTGAAAGAACTGGGGAATGTAAGTGAAAGTGTAAAATTCCATCCAGTCCTTTCACCTGATCAGTTGTGCCAAAGAAAAGGAGACTAGGATGGGACACTAATAGGCTACAACTTTTGGAACTCAGCACTTAGGACTCATTTCCCATGACCTAGAGCAGAATAGCTGGACTATAACAGGAGACGGAAGTCCAACCTCTCACTCTCGTCTGCAGCCTTCTCGGCCTCCTCCAGCTTCTGCAGCGCAGTGGCCAGTCTCTCCTGGACCCTATCCAACTCCTCCTCTACAAGCTGGATACGCCTATTCAGGGAAGCCACCTCAGCCTCTGCCTGTTTGGAGAGAGAACACTCAGTCAGCTAGAATGTAGCACAACATGCTGTAGCACTCACCTGTAGCACTCACACTGGTCTATGCAGGAGGGTGTAAGGTTTGAATAAAAAAGTAGTCCAGGGAATAGTGTTAGCTCTATTCATTCTATTATCTGCAACGTTCAGAACATTTCACATCACTGAATGCACCCTATATATTGCATACAATGACTATCCACACAGATAAACACATTTTATCAACAGGGCTACTATATCATAAGATCGCCGATCTCCTCGAAGGGTCATTTTATTACATACAGACATTGATACTGAATGGGTGTCAGTTGAAAAATTAAATCGCCCCTAACTAAAATAACAGATTTGTGCTGGCATTAAAAAACGCACAATGTATGCAGTACATACACCGTTCATATTGATGCATTCGGTATCAGTTAATCCCTCAGGAATTGGGTTTCACAATACTTCTAACCATATCAAAGTTTCATACTGCAAAGGGCAATCTCCTTCAATATGCCATTTGGTTAATCCTTCTGGCATACATTTTTTTCAGCTGTCCCTAGTTTTCGCCATTGAAAGACCATGGATACTGAATAACACATTTGTTGATTGTCTTTTCAGTGTTAGCTTTAGAACCTTTTTCAAACACTGAAAGCATCTCAAAATGAATCTTCTGATGGATACACACTGCGCAGTGGCTCTATGGGGACCACTTCGTATTTTCAAGCATGGTGGTGGCTGCATCATGTTATGGGTATGCTTTTCATCAGCAAGGAATAGGGAGTGTTTTAGGATAAAATAAATGGAACACAGCTATAAGCATAGGCAAAATCCTAGAGGAAAACCTGGTTTAGTCTGCTTTCCAACAGACACTGGAAGACAAATTCACCTTTCAGTAGGACAATAACCTAAAACACAAGACTAAATATACACTGGAGTTGCTTACCAAGACGACATTGACTATTTCTGAGAGGCCTAGTTACAGTTTTGAATGAAATCGGCTTGAAAATCTATGGCAAGACTTGAAAATGGCTGTCTAGCAATGATCAACAAATCAACTTGACAAGAGCTTGAAGAATTTAAAAAACAATTAATGGGCATATACTGTACAATCCTGGTGCACAAAGCTCTTAGAGACTTGCTTCAGGTGATAGAAATTGTCATTTAGTTTCCTGTGGATATATTGTCTCACATTCTTTCCGCCAAAAGGACCAACCGCACTGACAACAGGTAAAGTACATTAAAATATCATTTTATTCAACATTCTGGATTGTGAGGTGGTGAGATGAAACTTTCCTGATTCAAACGCTCATTTCTGCCGACATAGATTTCAATGCAATTCAACGTCGGGTTTCCAGGCAAGCTGGGCTCTAGCCTACAACTGCAGCTCTCCAAATGTACACTTTGTGTAAAACACAACACATTTTCAGCCCCCCCTGTGTGTGCACCCAGCGGCTGCAGACATCTGTTGCGATATTGCATTATTGTAGTCCTTGTACAGTGCCTTGCAAAAGTATTCATCCCCCTTGGAGTTTTTCCTATTTTGTTGCATTACAACCTATAATTTAAATTGATTTTGATTTCATGTAATGGACATACACAAAATAGTCCAAATTGGTGAAGTGAAATTACAAACAAATAAATAACGGAAAAGAGGTGCGTGCATATGTATTCACCCCCTTTGCTATGAAGCCCCTAAATAAGATCTGGTGCAACCAATTACCTTCAGAAGTCACATAATTAGTTAAATAAAGTCCACCTGTGTGCAATCTAAGTGTCACATGATGTGTCACTTGATCTCAGTATACATACACCTGTTCTGAAAGGCCCCAGAGTCTGCAACACCACTAAGCAAGGGGCATTACCAAGCAAGCGGCATCATGAAGACCAAGGAGCTCTCCAAAAAGGTCAGGGACAAAGTTGTGGAGAAGTACAGATCAGGGTTGGGTTATATAAAATATCCGAAACTTTGAACATCCCAAGGAGCACCAATAAATCCATTATAAAAACATGGAAAGAATATGGCACCACATCAAACCTGCCAAGAGAGGGCTGCCTACCAAAACTCACGGACCAGGCAAGGAGGGCATTAATCAGAGGCAACAAAGAGACCAAAGATAACCCTGAAGGAGCTGCAAAGCTCCACAGCGGAGATTGGGCTTTACGGAAGAGTGGGCAGAAAAAAGCAATTTCTTAAAGAAAATAATAAGCAAACATGTTTGGTGTTCGCCAAAAGCCATCTGGGAGACTCCCCAAACATATGGAAGAAGGTACTCTGGTCAGATGAGACTAAAATTGAGCTTTTTGGCCATCAAGGAAAACGCTATGTCTGGCGCAAACCCAACACCTCTCATCACCCACAGTGAAGCATGGTGGTGACAGCATCATGCTGTGGGGATGTTTTTCATCGGCAGGGACTGGGAAATTTGTCCGAATTGAAAGAATGATAGATGCCGCTAAATACAGGGAAATTCTTGAGGGAAACCTGTTTCAGTCTTCCAGAGATTTGAGACTGGGATGGAGGTTCACCTCCCAGAAGGACAATGACCCTAAGCATACTGCTAAAGCAACACTCGAGTGGTTTAAGGGGAAACATTTAAATGTCTTGGAATGGCCTAGTCAAAGCCCAGACCTCAATCCAATTGAGAATCTGTGGTATGACTTAAAGATTGCTGTACACCAGCGGAACCCATCCAACTTGAAGGAGCTGGATCAGTTTTGCCTTGAAGAATGGACAAAAATCTCAGTGGCTAGATGTGCCAAGCTTATAGAGACATACCCCAAGGGACTTGCAGCTGTAATTGCTGCAAAAGGTGGCTCTACAAAGTACTGACTTTGGGGGGGTGAATAGTTAAGCACGCTCAAGTTTTGTGTTTTTGTCTTATTTCTTGTTTGTTTCACAATAAAAAAATATTTTGCATCTTCAAAGTTGTATGCATGTTGTGTAAATCAAATGATACAACCCCCCCAAAAAAATTCCAGGTTGTAAGGCAAAAAAATAGGAAAAATGCCAAGGGGGGTGAATACTTTCGCAAGCCACTGTATAAGCAATGTTTTTGTGGGCTGATCCATGCTCGCCTAGAAAAATGGTACTGGTGCTTGGTAGGCTACAACTCAGACTGATCGATTTTATTTCAGGCGTCTCTTAACCTGTCTCTTGCCTGTCTCTCCGCATCCACCTCTCTATGAAGCGTTTCGGCACGGTCCTCCGCATCATCAGCTTGTTGCTGCAATGTCTGAATTTTCCTTTTCGCGGCTTCAATAGATGTCATTACAACCACTGCAAATGTATCTATGTAACAATTATATTCAACAGGAAAAGCTGCAATGAATGCGATGTTGTCGTGTTGCCTTTAGCGCTATAGCGGTACCTTGAGATTGTCACGCCATTTGTAACCAGTATCCAAATGATTAATGTAACAATAAATATATAAAATGTATTTATTTTATGTAAGCCTAAACGATCTTGGTAATATTGCGACCTGCTTGCACTCTGCTGCCTGCTTCAGCTGATGCGTTTTCGGAATTCAGTGCATAGGGTAAAAAGTTACATTCCTTTTCAAATGATGTCACAGGCCGGTCACAATTAATAGCGGCAGTCTATAAATAATGTTATTCCACTTCTTCTTCATTGAGGTTTAACGGCGGTTGGCATTCAGTAAATGTTGCATTACCGCCACCTACTAGACTGCAGTATAACTCCCTTATACTTTGCTTTAAAAAATTAAAAATTCAACAAATACCCTACCATCTAATACTACACTCTCAAAAAATAACAATAACTACCATACTCCACTATTTAAATATATTTATTCCTACTTCAGAACAACAGCCTGAAAGGATGGGACATCACCACTTAACACACCCTGTAACTCTTCGGATGTCAAGTCTCGCAAACCTAAATACCTCTCTGCAGCTGCCACCACAACCTCTATTTTCTGCGACTTACGTTCCATCCCTGCAGTGCAGTTGATAACCATTGCTATAAATGCCAAAAATCCAATCTTACTGAAACATATATCACTTGTTGGTTTATCCCTCTGTACTGGTACATATCTACTACTCACACCATTCCTCTCAGGATCCCTCCCCCTTGACCCATCTTCCTCTATTTTCTTCACTGCCTCAGCATATGACAACTTCTACACTACTCTAACCCTGGAAACCTCAACCTGCCTCTCTCGCACCGGACATTTCGGATCCCCAGCACCATGGGCACCCCTACAATTAACACATACCACTACTTTCCCCAATGCTACACATTCCTGTGTCTCATGCCGTTCTGCACACTTCTCACACCTAGGAACCTCCCTCCAACACACTGCTGCCACATGCCCATAAGCTTGACACCTGTAACAACGCAATATATTCGGCACAAAAGCTCGTACCGGATAACTTATATATCTTAACATGACTTTGTCGGGGAAAGACTCAACATCAAAACTCAAAAGAACAGACAATGACTCTTCTGTTTCTCCACTCACGCCACCCTGTCTGCATCGCACCAAACGACGAGCATCACCAACACCGGGAATCTTCCCCTTCAGTTGGTCCGCTTTCACATTTACTGCTAACCCAGTAATCACGCCTTTCATTGGCGCCCTTTTCTTGAGAGCAAAACAATTCACATTTCTTGCCCCCATTCGTTTAACACGGAGCGCCTGCTCCCTCTGACCAGCAGAAACACAAACAATTATCACTAGACCACTTCTGGTTACCCTCACCGATTTCACAGCACCCAACTCTGTTTTCATCCACCCTGAAACCACAAATGGATCCACTTTTTCCAAAAACGTCACTCCTACTGTCACAGACTTATCTTCATCCTGACCCTCGGTGCAAACCTCGGGCTCCGAGAACTTCACCACACCTACCAACTCCAATACTTTGCCCTCATTCACTTCCATTTCTCCTCCTGTCTTCAACTCACTCTGTTTACACTTTATACCATTCTTCTTTAACAAACCTTCTCCCTTTTTCCCGCCATTTTTAACTGACTGAAGCTCACCCTCTTCCTCCCTTTCTCGCTTAGACCT